TACACCCTGTATTATATATATATATATATATGTATGCGTATCCGTGAATCCAGTATACGACAAATATTCCCACCACAATCTAGTGGAGCGCTTGACAATGGAAAAGTGCAAGGTACCCACGACAATGAGCACACAATGAGTCTAAATGAGAACTTAAACGACAATTATAAGCTGGCATGTTCTTCCTCCCCAACTAAGTATACGAACGGTTTCTTAACGGGTATACTAGGTAGACGGATAAGGAAAAGAAAACTATATTGATCTTGGAAGCATCCGCCTGACTGTCAATATGTCAATCCACTTTAATGAGACTAAGGTGAAATATGTACACGTAATTCTAAATGTGATAGAGGTGTACTATTGTCCCACTTAAATATAGTATATTGTGGTATTGTCTTGCTATTAATCGTGCCAAAACTATATAAACAGTATCTAATAATCTGATGCACTCTGTAAATCCCCATTTGGTAATAGATTACTTAAATACAAATAGGAACGCTAAGGAAGGTCTCCCTTCTCCCTTCAATTTCATATTTAATTACGAGGCGAATACAAAAACACAAAAAGTAAAAACATGTTTATTTGTTCTCTCGACTGGCATCCAGATCGTAATCTATATCTCTGTCTCTAGTCAAGTTAGATCCACGTAATGTGGGGCTGAGTGCACTATTTCCTTACAGTAAAGAGTTAATTCCAGATAAATACAGATAATTTATATCTACAGTTTTGCGTTTACTTATAGAGGTGTTGTGTATGGATATGTATTCGTCGAGACATATCGTTGAAAGTGTTAAAGCAATGTCAACAAAAAGTCAGTAAAACGATCCCCATACTTGTAAACACATCATCCGGGACTATAAACGCGAACCTATAATGATGGAGGAAATGAAAAACGCGCCATAACTGTTGATCTTTTACCGTGCGTTTTATAATTGTGTATATCTGCCCATTTTGACTAGACATCTCATTGAAAAAATCGGAGGCATTTTTAAATTAACCGTTACCTGGCTCAGGTGTGATTTATATAGCTCTTGTGAAAAGCGTGCGTTCATATATGATATACATTTTCTAAAATTGATGCATGAATAACTTAAATGCAGTGTATCACGATATTTGGGTATACTCTGATCGGGTACTATGGTGCCTTTCAAAATTCAATAATTAAGTCAAGACAATATTTCACTCAAGGCTGATGTTTACTTTTCTCAAGCTTTTTCCATAATGTTGATTTAAAGGAAGCTGGAATAGAGATGGTAGGAAAGCCCTATTTAAATGAAAAAACTAACTTTTTGGCGTCTGCAGCTGCTATCGATGGAGAACCGTTCCCTGAGGCCACATGCCTGTCGCCAAAGTCGCTGCTGACGCTGATTGTGGATCACAACGATCTGCACCGCGGCACACGGTACAGGCAGATTGTCAGGACGGAGGAGCACAATTGGGAGGAGGAGTACAATGAGTTCATCAACAACGTTCGAATCACACCCGGCGCATTCATGAAGCTGTGCCCAGCGCTGCTGGCACAGATTGACAATGGAGTTTGCATTCAGCCGGCGCCTCATCCAAAGCATTCTGAGATGGACAGAGGACAGAGGATTTGGAATGGTAAGTCTCTGTAGAGGAAGTCAGATTGTATTATAATACTTAACTGTTCACAGCTTGGATATATGCAAGCATCTCCATGTTTGTGCTCTCAGGTGAATATCGCATTAATGTTTCAAATCGCTCAAATCACTAAGCAACCTTCCTTCAAAGCTTGCGGACTCCTGGGCATTCTGCTCGTGCCGCTGATGAAGACGATGGCTTATCAGAAGATACTCAAGTTCCTGGTGGCGATAGCTGTTGGCACCCTTGCGGGAGACGCCTTTATGCATCTGCTGCCACATGCCCTCTTCAAGGAGGAGAAGCACGAGCATGCATTGGAGACGATTCGCTTGACGGACAAGGATCGCGACCACAAGCACAGCACGGAGGCAGCTTTGCTTTGCGGCAGTGCTTTTCTTGCAGCCTTGTTCATGTATATGCTGGAAAACCTCATCCCGATTTTAAAAGGCGATAAGGCTGGCCATGGGCACAGCCATAGTCATGGACACGGTCACGCACACACTCACACGCGCCCGAACACGCACAGCACACACAAAGATGTGGACAAAGTACAGGCAACACTCGAGGCGCAGGCACCGCGCGAGCTGAATGTCATGCTGCACGAGGCAAAGGAGGATCAGAAGTCTCCAAATCGCCCACTAACCCCAGTGGCATTCATGGTCATCATTGGGGACGGACTCCACAATCTTACCGATGGCCTGGCCATAGGAGCCGCCTTTGCCAGCGATCCCGTCACAGGGCTGGCCACTGCCTTTGCCGTCCTATGCCATGAACTGCCCCACGAGCTGGGCGACTTTGCTTTGCTTTTACAAACGGGCGTATCCATACGTCGCGCCGTCTATATGAACATTGTCAGTTCGGTGCTGAGTTTTGTGGGTATGTCCGTTGGCCTGCTGCTTGTCGGTATTGGCAACGACATGACACAGTGGATCTATGCGGCAACTGCGGGATCCTTCCTGTACATAGCATTTGCCGATCTGGTGCCAACGATGAGCGTGGCTCACAATCCCGACCAAGCCAACGACCCAAAAGGCATTCTCATTCAAATATTAGGCATTTTCCTGGGAGGAGCCATAATGTTAATCATTGCAATCAATGAGCACGATTTGGAGGGTTTATTTAAAAGTTTATAGGTCCCTCACTGTCTCACAGTATTAGAATCTCAATCATCCAAAAACTAAAGTGGCAACATAAGATTGTTAAGGAATTTAACTAAAATCAGTATGGAAAACAATCGCGGTTAAACTAGCCCAAACACTAATGAACATGCGATTGGTTGATTAGTTAATAGTATACATTAAATATTTGTTTTACACATTATATTTGTCTGTTCGTGTTCCATTGACTAAAATATACCTGACCTTTTAAATGCCAGTTGAGTCGTAACACGGTTTCTCCTTGCTTTCACTAAAGTCTTGAGAGATAGATGAAACCTTAACAGCTAATCCGTACAAAACTATATGTAGTATATAATATAAACATTATATTTGGTTGTGTGTTCCATTGAATGACCATTGCCGATCCGGTTAATTTATAATATCGACCAGGAATTTAAACTAAACAATATTAATTATAATATGCAATAAATATATGTGCCAATTAAGAGGTATTTTTGTGTACAGCTTAGAGAAGTTCAAAAAAATACCTAATTTGTATCAATATTTACTGTTAAGCTCTTTATAACGATCTTTAATGTATATGGTAACCATTTTTATAGACTATAGCTTTAAATATTAAAGAACCTCTTGTGAATATATGTACTAAGCTTTCATTTTAAGATAATTGCATTTGTCGCTGTTCCTCAAAGGGTTCGTTGGGCAAACGAGCGGGGTTCTGCAAAGAGTAATATAAAGACGATTACTGAGTGTAAGGAGTCGATTTTCACAGACTGACCAACTTCTGGGCACGCTGCTCCAGCAAGCCGTATGCAAAGTGATTTAGTGCAAAGCCGGCGGGAAGGGCCACACCTTGTACTCGGTAAAACGCGTCCGATGCACCTTCATTGGCCAACTTGTGCGCCGCTAACACAGTGCATTTTCCAAGGAAACGGGTGGACGCTACCATCGGACCACGTGAAATGTCAATATGGTCGCCAAGGCGATAAAGCGTTACGCGATTCTGATGTTGCTGTGCAATACTTGGTATTTGTTCGCTTTTATAACGTAAGTCCTTGAACATTTCTGTTGCTAGATCCAGATCCACCTCCAAGCGCTCAATGCGCAAATCCTGTGCCGCCAGCTTAACCATTTCGGCTGAAATGGCTCGCATTTCAGCTTTCGTCGGCTCCCAGTTTTGCACGCCAAGCACGATGTCATGGACAAAGCTTCCCGATTTAACTGAAAATGATTATCGATAAATGTTGTTCAACTGTAGTGTTGATATTTAAACTTACTATTTGGTCCCGGAAAGCTGTGTAATTGAAGATTAGCTTCCTGCTTAAAAACCCTCTGCAGCGCAGCGCCTAGCATGAAGCTGCAGGTGCGCCAAAAAGCTCTAATTATTAAATAAAACTGTTAGTCGACTGTGTCTATGCGGATATTTCGTTTCACTCACTTGTTAACTAAATGCGGATCGGATACGTTAAAGTTAAGGAGCTGCAGCGTGCAGGATTCCTGCAGAGGCCTGTGCATATCCCAGGGAACACTACCGTCTATTAACGCTAAAGCACTCCGTTTGCAGTGGCCCTCGCTTAAATGCTGTGCGCAATTAAATGGAGTCGAGATGTTATTGTTCATGACCAACGTCACGTCCTCGGGTAGACCCAAATAACGCACTTCGATCTTCTCCACTCGACCAACTGCATTCTGCTGACGGCGCCACTCTTGATTGAAAAGTTCATTTCGATGTCCATTTGAAGCACTGATCGCTGATTTAGCTAAAGTTTTGAAGTTACCAATGATTAATGAAACTTTAACTTACCAAAACTATACTTAAACTTATACTTAAATAAAACCCATCCGGCGTTACATAAAGTTTCCGCATGCGGCACTCAAAACGTGTGTGTGCGAAATAACTTACCAATGTTTCGGTATTGCTGTATTTGCGAAATACCGACCAATGATTTTTTTAACAGTTTTGTTGCCGCAGCCATTGAAGTTCAGTCAATAATATAATTATTATTTAAACAACAAGTCAGCAATATATTAACATCTGTTGGTCTGGAATATAGGAAGAACGACTCTTCCATTCTATTAGTATTTTTACAGTCACTGTCGTGACTAAAGTAAGAGTAGCACTTCCATACAAAGAAATAAAAATGTATGTGTAAAAATTTCTCTGTGAATATAACATTTGAGCTGTGTCAATATTTTGAAACCTTACTTGAAATAATCTACTTTAATATTAGAACAATATGCGTATATAATTTATTTAAATATACAAATTAATAAAAGTCGCATATTCACCACAGGGATGCATTCATCGAAGCAACTCGATAAGTTGTTATCGATACTCAAACATAGAGTATGCGAAGTGAAAACTTCTCGATAAACAACAATTTGTGCCTGTCATTTGCACTGTCATTCTGTTTGTGATTTTAAAAGAAATAAAATATTAATTCAAGATGACTTTAGATACTGCTCCAGATCTACCCCGCGCTGGCTTCAACTTCGACAATTGCCGGCGGTAAAATTACTGTGTGACTGCACTTAGTTTAACTTACTCACGTAATCTGTATAATTTCAGCAATGCTGCCCTCATACAAGGCGGCTTCAAGCCACCTACAATGACGAAAACTGGCACCACAATTGTTGGTATAATTTACAAAGATGGTGTCATATTAGGAGCTGACACTCGTGCCACTGAGGGACCCATTGTATCTGACAAAAACTGCGCCAAGATCCACTATCTGGCTAAAAACATTTAGTAAGTAGCTCTATGCTTACATATATAATATATATACATATATATATGTTGATTTAGCTGCTGTGGTGCCGGCACTGCCGCTGATACGGAGATGACCACAGACTTAATCTCATCTCAGCTGGAGCTCCATCGGCTCAACACTGAGCGACAGGTGCCTGTAGTATGTGCTAACAACATACTAAAGCAGATGTTGTTCCGTTACCAGGGCCACATTAGCGCTGCGTTGGTCTTGGGTGGTGTCGATAAGTACGGACCGCACATATATTCCATTCATCCCCATGGTAGCTCCGATAAATTGCCATACGCAACCATGGGATCAGGCTCGCTAGCAGCTATGACCGTTTTTGAGAGCCGTTGGAAGCCCAATCTATCTGAGGAGGAGGGAAAAAAATTGGTGCGTGATGCTATTGCTTCTGGTATCTTCAATGATCTTGGATCTGGATCCAACGTGGATCTCTGCGTGATTCGCAAAGACAGCACTGAGTATTTGCGGAACTACGAGCTAGCCAACAAGAAGGGCGAACGCCAGTTGGACTACAGATTCAAAAAGGGCACCACCCTACACACAACACTTAAGGATCTGGAGATCACCGAACGTGTGCAGGTCGTTCCAATGGAAGTCTCTTAAGGCATAGGGCTTGCACTTAAATGTTAATAAATACCATTAATATGTATGAAGTTCAGAAAGGGAAATAAAGAACTTTTATACTTAAAAGAAAAACGAAAATGCAGCGAAATACATATTTGGTGTGCTTTATTATTTTACAGATGCAAGACATTACATTGGACTAGCTGTAATCATAGATAAATAACTGCTTTGGTCGGTACAATTGAAACTTACAGGTATTTAATGTTTAGCCATAATATTCGTATCCATGTCTTCAATGTGAGTCGCCATATATTTCAACAAGTAATTTTGCTAATATCACATTATAAAGAGGGTCAATCCCTACCTGCTAAAGGCACGATGGGGGTTGCTAACTTAACTGCTAAATGTTTGGCACCAAGAATTCACTTGATTTGTAAGACCGTACAATTATCTTAAATTACACTTAAATATATACTATATTGCGGCTGATCAAAAGTCCAATTAGCAAAAGGCCAATTTTCTGCGATGCCATTAATGCGCCGCCATTTACACTGGGCTCCAGCATATGGGAAACAGTCAGGCTGGACAGCGCCAGATTTGTAGTAATCCGTGGTGATTGCGAGCTAATCAGGGCCGAAATTTTCTCCGCTTCTGTAGCGCACACCTTTGCCTGCAGTAAGGTGGGCCGGCCACGAGGGACGAGCGCCACAAAGATGCCCACCTCCATGGTGAGAAAGCCGGTCAGCTGACAGTCGCTGACTTGAACCAAGTGATCGAGCTCCTGCAGAATGCCATGTAAAGTCAGCAGAGAGCTGTGCTGGCCGCGAAGTGCATAATAGGCTCGGTCCAGTTGTTTGCGGGAGTATATGATCCGAAATGCGGCGCCGCCACAGATCGGGCAACAAGCCCCAGGCGGCACGATCTGTAAGCAATGCTTAGAGGGAAGGCTCGGGCATTGCACCGTCCTGCAGCGCTGTCCCATGTCGCTGACAAGCAGTCCAACCTCGCGGCAACGACCCACGTAGTCGACAGTCACAAAGTCGGCCAGTGCAGCAGAGCTACTCCGATAGGTCACACCGTTCGTGCCGCAGACTAGCTCGGACAACTCATTCCTCGCCCCGTACTCCGGCCGACATGCTCCCCAATAGGCTAGCTGAAAGTGACCCTGCAGCAGGGAGCAGGCGTTCTGGTGAGTCTTGCCCTCTGTGTCGCACAGCTGCTTCCCGTGGTGAATCCCACAGCCGGAAGACGAGACATTCACTGCAATAGCAGCAGAGGCGGAATATAACTCTTTAACTTGATCTGTTCTATTAGAACAGTTTCACTTACCGCAAATATATTGTGGACACGGCCTCTGCATGCTGGAAAGGCAAACTTGACGCTTCTCCAGACACTGAGTGCCGGACGGACAGCTGAGTGCCTGACAGGCATTGCGGGCATTACAGGCTCCATACAAAAAACTGTTCTCGAGCAAGCCCAGGCACTTGGCCACACAAGCCGATGGATAGGTGTTGCCATTAGTCCCACAGACGGGCACGTAGTGGGCAGGACAGTTGCACGGCAAGCTGGTGTAGCTCACATCCACGTAGCCTGGCAGACGGCACTGCTGCTTGGTGCAAGTTATTTCACCGGCAAAGCAGCTGCACAGATTACACTCTAGGTAAAAGGATGAGCCGTGTCGGAAGCTTCGCCCACCCGGCAGCACACAGTGCGCATGGGTGTAGCTGGGCAGCGGTTGACACTGATCCACGTTGCCATGAATGCCACAACGGCACACCACATGCTCCGCAGTCAGCAGCTGACCACTCGCCAGACCGATGCCACTGCGGGGGGTGCTCATTTTGCCCACCCGGACGTATGCCCCGAAGGGCACGTTGAGCGCAGAGGCCTGTCCCAGACTGCATCCCGGAACACAGGAGTACCCTTGGTTGCCGTTTCGCTGGGGCACACATACCTCGCTGGCATTGCAGGGCTTAGAGGCGCAGGGTGAATTGACTGCCAAGTCCATCCTGCCCGCTCCCTCGCTCCAGACTTCAGCTGGATCGCTCTCTTTCAAATAGCCACGTAGTGATATGCACGGCATTGGCTCTTCTCCGTCATCAGTCCCTGTGGGCGGCTGCAGTCGGTCGCAAATCGCTTGGGGCCGCAGCGGCTGTCTAGTCCAATCCAGGCACTCGTCCAGTAGCTCCGTGCAATCCTCTCTGCAAATGCCATTGTACAGGCCAAGCCGGGTGCAGGGCTGCAGCTGTAAGGCGCAGACCAGCGCTTTCCACTTGTCAGGGGCACAGCGCGTTGTGTTCTTTATGTAAAGCTCCTGACCCAAGACACGAATGAAGCCGCGCTGCTGCAACAGCAAGAAATCTTCCCGAGCGGCCGCATCGTGTGCAGGCGAACAGCTGCGAAACAGCTGAGTTGGCCGATCATTGAAATTGCTGCAAAAACTCAGTCCATGACAGCCCAGCTCACAGGGCGCGTCTACGCTCTCAATGCAGCGCCTTAGATCCATCTCAGCAGGCTGCTCCAAGCACTCGGTGTCGAAGCTCGCACGTGTCTCCCACCAGTCGTTGGTGAATATCTGGGTGCACAGGCGGCGGCACTTGTGGCTGCTGGCATGCTCGCAGCACTGGCGCTTGGCTGCATCGATGCCCAGTTTGTTGGGGTCCTCGTTGTCAGCTCCCTGGGAGGACAGCTCGGGGCGCCACTGCCTCGTTCCTCCCTCCTGCGAGGGTACATACAACTTGCGAGTCACCGTCAGGAAGCATTGCCAAAAGGGGAGATGGGGCATCGGGAGTCCGCAGCCGGCCTCAAGGCGCGCAAAAACCACGTCACTGCGCTCGGCTCTCTGCTTCAACTTGGATGCATGCAGCACATTCGTGCATGTTTGATGGCACTTCTCTTCGTGGCTGTACTCGCAGCATGGCAAGTCTATTGGCGAGAATCTAAATCAATCATAGAACATTTATATGTGGGCGTACGTGCACTTTACACTTCTCAATGTCCACCGGCGGAGTCATATCCGTGTGATTGTGAATGCATTGCAGCACATCGGCATTCCGTTCCCCACATGTCTCATCCACCAATTTGCTATCGGAGTAGGCGGATCCAGTTTCATTCGGAGGCTCAAAGACTTCTCGGCAAGCCTGTCGTAAATAAATAATATCTTAGCTCAATTGCTTACAGTCAAACAAGGTTTTAGGCTCTAATCAGTAGAATCATATTACAAAAATAAAGGTTTCTAATTGATTTTGATTCACTTATCTGAATGATGCTAAGGCCCAATATTATATTTCATTGATTTCCTTTTCCGAATCAGAAATACATTTTCGGAAATGAATTGATTTGCATATAATTACATATGATATACACTTGCTCGCAGAACTCTGTGTACACTTGCAAAAAAAACCCATATTTTTATGTTTACATGTGTATTACATTTTATTTAGGACATTGTGGTTCATTATTGACTCTATAAAAGAGAGATTTCCAACATCACTGGCAGTCATACATCCCCAGACGATTACACCACCTCCACCATGCTTCACAGTCGGTAATAAATTTTCCTTGTCCGCTGTTCCGCTTTTTCTCCATACTAGCTTCTTTCCTTTTATGTCAAATAGGCAAAACTTGCTCTCGTCTGAAAAAATTACCCTATTCTAGAAGCTAAATGGCTTGGAAACGTGCTCATTTACAAAGTCCATACGCTTTTCCCTGTTCACCTCTGATACATGGGGATTCCTACGTGCAACTCGGCCATGATAGCCCGCCTTTTTCGAAGTGCGTCGAACGGTTTCTTCAGAAACAGTTTTGGAGAAACGTTCTTCAACTTCCAGACATCCTTGGAGAGCAGTTATCATTGGATTCTGAGGTGACAATTGGACGATACGTTTTTTCTCTCGTTCCGTGAGCAAGGGTGGGCGACCTGAACGGGGCTTTGACAATATGGAGCCCCATGAAACATAATTGTCGTAGACTCTTTGGCACGGGGAATGAGTTTGACCAATTTCTCGGTAGTATTTGCCTTCCAACCTGTATACCGATATTTCTTTTTATACCCTAAACCCATTTTCAATGGGAAATCAGGGTATAATGGTTTTGTTGAAATGTATGTAACAGGCAGAAGGAGGCATGGCAGATCAAACAAAGTATATATATTCTTAATCAGGGCGACGAGCTGAGTTGATTTGGCCCTGCCCGTCTGTCTGTCCGTCCGTCTGTCCGTATGTTTGAATGCGTCGATTTTAGAAGATATAAGAGCTAGGGACTTCATTTTTTTTTTTAAATGTCCATATATTCAGCGCGGATATCGAGTTTAACACAAAAAATCGATACCTCATCCCTTTCTTTTTTATCGATAAAAACCTTATCGAAAATCAGTTATAAAATTATATCTCCTACATCTTTAAAGATAGAGTCTCCAAATTTTAAATGTATATTTATATACTACCATAAAATTTAAAATTTACCCCCCCCCCCCACCACTATATCCACCCCCTCACTTCTAAGTTTGTAAAAGGCGTATTTCAAATACTAGAGACTTGTGCTTTAGCAAATACATGTATATCCATGTTATGATCATAATTTATAATCATAATCTGTGTGTATGTGTGTGCGTATGCGTGTGTGTGTTTGTGTAAGCAGAAAGACGCGAAAAATGATTGAAAGAGATTTTGCTCGAAGGGTTCAGGGGATCCCGTAGTCGAGCAGTTTTGACTAGAGCTTTCTTACTTGTTTCATACTAGGTTTAGTTTTACTAATAAAATAAAAACATATTTATGTTAATAATTGAATGAAAAATGTTATAAAAAAAAAGAAGTATTGCCTTATGTGTCCTAAATAAAATGTTATACACATGTAAACGTACAAATATGGGTTTGCTTGCATGTGTACGCAGAGTTCTGCGAGCAAGTGTACATATGCATCTGTTAAAATATATAAAATGACGTTCAAGATTTTTGCAGACAGTTATTTTTCCTTCCGAACGTTATCTTTAAATTAAATGATAAAACAGTAAGCTATCTCTATTGTATGTTAAAATGGGTGTTCGATAAAAAAAAATAGGTGCCTGTATTAATTCAGTATAGGTAAATATTTATAATTTACTTATACTTGTTACGTTCCATAATCAATTGAATCTCCGTTCCGGCATGGAAATAAAGCATTCCACGTTTCTTAGCTGTCCAATTTAAATGAATGTCTGCCGATTGCATTCTAGAACCTGGTCCATTTAGCATAAATTTCAAATCTATTTTCTTCCCAGACATCAGATTAAGACCAAACCATTCAATTTTGCATTCAAAAAACTCCCAGTAAAAAACGAGACCCATTGCTCTCACCAAGCGAGACTTGGGGTATACAGTACCCAAGTAGTAGAGGCAGTGCGTCTTATTTATTGCATATTGTTTACCTGCAGGCACTCGGAGGTGCGCGCCTTGCCACAACAACTGTCGGCTGCCTCCTGGTGCTCAAAGCAATCGTAGAGCACTTGCTCATCGCTGCGCCGGCAGACTTCAATCAGCTCGTGGCTGGCCGCCGCAGTTGCGCAGGAGTTTTTGCACTTTGGTAGAACGGCCACTTGGCAGCATCGACGGCCGGACCATGATTTACCTCTGTCAACCGCTGCAAATGCCATTTAGGAAACACTCTTTGTACTGGAGGCACTGCCATCTCACTCACCTTCCAGTGTGCGATTCACACAGCTCCAAAAGTCCAGTTGATGCAGCTCACAATACTTTCTCAATTCCGTGCGTGGCTCCTCACGTGCATTTCCAGAGTCCAATTGAATCAAGGATATCTTAAAGTAAATAATACTTACTGTCAAAATTATATTAAATATTAGAACAGACCTAAATATATGTTTTCTCTTCTTGTTCAGGTTGATCAACATTTGCTCATCTCGTCAATACATTTTCAATATTATTCTATTTCTATTCATAAAGTGTTTATTTGGGGATCCTCCTAGCTTGATTGCTAAGTCCCTCAGTATACTCCGATTCTTTCTTAATACCACATCAAGCTGTTTCAAATGCTTAAAAACAATTTTTTACAATTTAATAGACTCATATTCGCATAAGCCATGCCCGCCGTGAAGCATGTAGCTTACGTAATCCCTAGTTTCTGGGTGGTATCGATCCGTTGGCTGTCAGTTTTATTTCACCTGTCTTTGACATAAGATCCATAAGCTTACAGGCCCTTCTACTATTTTGCTGACCGCCTTTCGCCGTTTCTATTTCAAGCCATTCTGTACGATTCTCTATTTTCGCCAATCTCTAATCTTATAATTCCATATCCATTGTTTTATTGGCATTGTCAGCCGCATATATTTTTATACACTCCCAAGAAGCTTCGTATTTAATCCACTATACCAACTATTGTCTGATTCGTTGCTTTCATTCTCTGTTCTGTTTTGTAATCTCTCAGTAAGAAAGTAAATTTCAATCGTGCATACGCTTGCCCTCTTCTCCTCTGCCCCTTACATTTTCAAATGAATATACTTCATCCTCAGCTGGAATCGTTCTATTAAACAATATATTGTAACATTAATATTTTATATATTTTATTTAATTTTATTGTTCGATTATATCAATATATATTGTATCAAATACTATCTCTGTCATGGAATATTCACTACTTCCAAAATGTATCGATATACCTTGCACTTTGTTTGAGCGCTTCCATTGTTCCGCGCACAGCTCGTGTATTATGTTACATTCGAGATGTTGCTCGCTTGTGAGGGCAAGCCAGCGCCTCATAAATAAGGCGAGAATACTTCAATACCGAAGCAACAAATTATTCGGCCCGCTTATCTGCCATAGTAATCTGAGTCCGTCGATGTCTATTAAAGATACAAAACGCCTATTCCTCTCTCTCTCTCTCTCTCTCTAAGCCATCGCACTATTCACAATTTACATATATACATCGTATCCATTGGCCAACTTCCTTCGGGCAGAGGAAGTGTCTTGGCTTGCAACAGATAGGCGTGCTCGGATCTATATATATATACATATATAATTACAATGAATGTAAGGTACACTCAAGGTCCTTCGTTTCATTGGACACTTGTTCTACGTCTTTCAGAAATGTTTGCATCTAGATAGACGCACTTTAAACGATTATCGCCTGGGCACACCTTCATCAGTCTTGAAGAGGGTGATTTTGTCAATAGCAATAATATGAAATTATCAGCAAGATGCAATCTGGCTCGACTTTTCACACGTTTTTTTGGGTAGATTTGACTCCTCCTTCGGTTTCAGTTTTGGTTTCTGGTGTTCATTCGATGTGCTGCTGCTGATGCTGCGCTGCACCCAATGCGCTAAACCGGTCTGGGAACAGGTATTATCCTTTGGCTGTCATTTTGTCAGATTCAATTTAAGCAAAGATTTAATGCCTTCATTTGCATTCATAAATGAAAAACTCAAGCTCAAGCCATTCTCTGCCGCAGCAAACGAGAAACTGTTGCACAAACTAATTGGTTTTAGAAATTGTTATGATTACAAAGTTAAATGATGTCAGTGGTTTGATTGCGGGTCGACAATAGTGCGGGGCAAGGCAGATAGCAACGGCAACGGCGACGGGAACGGCAACCGCACAGGTAACTGGCTCTATGTGCGACTCACACACACACACACACATATATAAACTGAAATTCATATGTAGCCTTATGGACGCTCTTTCCAGTGCTTATCACTATATCAAATGTATATCCATATATGTGTAATAACTGAACGGGGCTGTATTGTAAATATCATAAATATGTATATGTGCCTCTAATAACAATTTAACGACATAACAATATAGTTATATAGTCCGGCTTGATTCTGTTCAACTACTGTTAAATGCGATAGAGAATCATCTTGTAATAGGTTTTTATAAGGTTATATCCAGTTCGATCTTTTAAATACTCCTTAATAGTTCTCAGACCCACACGCAAAAATAATTCAATAGTATTCACTTTCGAAATATTTAAGTATCTAAAATAAAGACTAGTGTAACTAGAGGCTTTTATATAAATTCGCACTTTCTGGTCTCTGGCCCTTGCTTATTCTAGGTTTTTAGAGATTTAATCTCTATGTAAACATGAACTTAACATTGCATGGAATATAAGACATGCATTGCAAATCGTTTCGGTTTCTTCTCTGCTAGAGTATTACATATTCAGTTTACCGTAGCTGGTCGCTCCTTGTTTTTACTCCAATGCTTAAACTTATGAATGGGTTTTAGTGGCAAACAGGTTGGGTTGGTCGTTGATCGTTGGCTGGTCTTGTTGCCAATTACCTGTTTGTGGCTGATGCTAATTAATAATGTAATTGCTCGAGTCCGAGCTATCTGTGCAATATTAGCTAGTTATTCGCGCCTGGATTTCCATTCGGGACAAGGCTGCAGCATTAACAACAACAACATCAGCAGCAACGGAAGTTGTCAAAGTTCTTTCTTGGAGTCATGAATTGGCTGTCATAATACTTTTCTGAGCCCATCGCGCACAATGCATTCTAATAACTTGTATTTATAACACGCTGGCGCTTGGTTTAGTATGCAGCTCGTTGCGATAGGCATAAATACCAGGAAATGTTCGGACACAGTAGTCTCTCGCCTTATCAACTGATCAAAATAGTCGTTGGCCACAATGCCCGTGTGTGTGTATGTGTGTGTGTCTATCTTTCACATAATGTATTCAACCAATGTCACAAGACACTCATGTAAAAACCAGGGATTCGTTGAACCTTACCGAGGCGAACAAACGATACATATCATACATATAAACATAAGCATAGCGAGGCGGGGCCATCGATCCCAGCTACTTACGTTCTCGCATGCTGTGCGACATGAGCCAAAGACCTGGTTGCAGCACGTGAAGACATCTGCAAATATACAATTAAAATACAAATCAGTCAACATGATTCATTCATTTGCAATTGGCTAAACACCAAAGTTGCCTTTGAGTAAAATATTATCAGGTAAGCACTATATATACATACATATATCTGATATTGCAGGCAGACCAGCAGCAACAAGCCGATATATTCGTAGAGGGAATTAGGTAGTTCTTTAGTGTATGTCTGCTCTCCTTCGTCGAAGAATGAGTGGATATATATCAGAAGTTTTTGGGAAGATAAGGAATTTAAGATCTTGTGAAAATATTCACAGTGACTCGGCTGGTAAAATGCACTTCCGAGCTCATTAAAAATGCTGTCAAAAAGTGGCAGAGCTCGCGAATTCGCCTGATTTGCAGCCGCTGCTTTTGGCATGTGAGACATTTTTGACATGTGAGACAGAAGACACATGCAGCACAATCTCGTTGTCGCTGTTGTTGTCGTTGTCGTTGTCGTTCTGGTGGATGACTTTCGTAATACCCAAGCACAATTAGTTCGATTCACACCGATTGCCCATCTTATCTATGCAAATACCCAGAGAGGTGCTCATTACACATACATACATATATGTGTGCCGCACATGCGAGTAGATGTTGCATGTGCGCACTGCCAATGAGTAGTCTGAGTGATCTCTTATTAAGTACTTGCCGTTTAGATTGCCTTGGCTGGCATCATTTAGCGATTTCTCATTGGGTGTTGAACTTTGGCGAGCAACATGTGCGCCACATGCCTCACCCTAGTCATCCGTCCTAACAGCCCAGAGACAGTTGCACTTGCAGTCGCTCTGGAGCGGGCTCAAAGAGTTTCGTTGGGTGCGTGAAAAATGTCGCTTTTGTCACATGCTCTGAGGCGGCCGAATGTGAGGGGCGGGCGGGGATTTCGACTCAGTCCCGGCGGAGATGGGGCCAGCTGCTCAAGTTCCCAAAACATCAAAAGCACAACTCATTAATTAAGTGTGTGCAATTGCTGTGGGCCAGGCATCGCGGGCACAAGTTCCTCGTCTTTCCCCCATTTCGGCCGCTCGTCTACCTCCCGTATTTTTGGCATGCCCCTCTATTTTGCCAGTCGAGTGCGACACTTTTTGGTTTATGACTAATTTTAGAGCATTCACTTTGAAGTCTTGGGAAATCATTTTTGATTTCCACGCGCTGTTTCGTCATTTCATTTTTATTTCGATTCCAAAACAGTTTTTTAACAATTAAAATGCGTGAATCGTTGCTCGTAAGAACTGTGAACAATTCTCATTCGATAGGCAACACTTAGTGCTTACACCCTAAATACACTAATTGAGCATGCATAGATGAATTCATCTGCATATGCATCTTCTAATGTAATGTATCTATGCATGCTTATGCATATGTGAAAGAAGAGTTCTTTGTTTGATCAGATACAGGGTATTCGCAAGTCAGCGACTCGTTCAGTTCGGCTTCTTTCCATTCTATTTGTATTTTTCCTTCGTCAAGTGCTATTTTTATTACAGTTGCAAAGTTGCGCAGTCTTCGCGCGGCGTCTGTCATAGTCATAGTCACAGTCATAGTCATAGTCAGAGTCAGAGTGTGGCCAATGATCTTAGGAGCTGTCAACACAGGCCGAAGCACCCAAGCAATGAGGCAGATGTAGCCTATAAATAAAGGAAACGTCTCAATAGCAGATACTTTAGCTAATTTTCGTATTTCTTGGTACCCAAGCAGGCCTGTCAAATGCCGCAGCTAATTTATAGAGCTCAGATTTGCCACGATTTGCCGCAGGCGGGGACGAGAGGCGGGGATCAACCTGCCACGGTGGGGCATGGCCACCGAAGAGGATGGATCATCTTTTATTCAAAATGCATTCATAAATAATCGCTTGATTACCATTTATTATAGACAAGTCAAACAAATAAACAATACTTAAATGCGAACAGCTCGCCGACACTCGGAATTTATTAGTATGCAAAGCGTTTCTAATGACTGTCAATGAATTGATAATGCCAATGACAATGCCGATGCCGATGCCGATGCCGATGCCGACACTCAGCTGCATTGGCATGCGAGGCGTCAACCCCGGGGCCTGTCCACCGATGGGCAGAGCCCTTTTTGCAATTGCAAGCGATAGCCAGCTAAGCACCGCCAACGACAAATATGCGCAGCCCATAAAATCACATTTCATTGGAAATCTAACAAACTTATCACACTCTCGGCATTATTCACTTCAGCGCGCAAATTAAGTGTTGGTGTTGATGGCAAGTGGTTTGGTCAGGACGACCCCCGTTGCGCTGGAGCTGGAGCTGGAGCACCAGCTCGGGGTGAGGCGCCATATGCTTATGTATGTGGAATATGCTGGCGCCTGCAGCAGAAAACAGCCGTTCCCAGTGTAGTTTAAATAAGGCTTTAACACAGCTTCAATTTGGATTCACACACAATACTGAGACACATGCGCATGTGGCATGTCGGATGTCGGATGTGGCGTTTCGCATGCAGACAGTGGCGCACGCCCGGTCCAACATGGTTCAATGATGGAACCTGGCTGTAGAGAGAGGCCAGAGATAGTAAGAAAAACCACTTCCAATTGCATTTCTCTTCTTTCACTTCACTTTGTAAAATATTTACAAAAATATATAACGCCAGGTTTATATAATTATTACCATATTGTTTTATGACTGAATTTATTGAATTCATTTAATAATAATAATTTGTTGTATTGGCACATTCAATAAAGGCATATGCAAAACATTCTGATGAGTCCCCCTTTGACTGCAGCATACGCCACTGCTTTTCGACACACATACATACGCAGAATACACACATACATACTCGCATGCACGCTTATAGCTACTCATCATCGGGCACTTTCAATTAAAACATTTCATTCTCTCTTGTATATTGCCTTTGATTAGGCTAGCGGATGAGATACATTCACATGACGTATTTGAATAGAGATATGTGTATATGGATATATATACATATATGTAGATATGTACATCATATATCGTTCCAAGATCTTCGTATGTCTCTGATTAATCGAATTTCTGTGACATTGAGCAAGCGTTTTAAATACTTTTCAAGCATTTTTCCTATTCTAGGCGTAAAACATTCAAAGAACCCCCATTAACCGAAACTACATTTACATAGTTAACATATTTATGCAAAGAGCTGCTGAATTTGAAAAGAAAACTTGGCAACTGTGAGACTTACTATGTGGAAAACGTATGTAGAACGGAATCAAAGCGGTTTTCTGAATGGGTATTCCCTTGAGTGAGATTTTCGGTCTACTGAATGGGTTAATGGATGCTCCACTGTATTATTGTTTGTGACTGAGGATGCCAGAGCAATAAGTCATCGGCCAGATTTGAGTCAATGAATAGCTGGCAGTGCGAACTCAAGCAGCTGATAAGACGTTTCGTTTGAAGCTCCGAGCGGGAAAAGGGCAATCGGGCAACCATTCATACTATAGTTGCACTGATAAGGCGCTGTCGACTTACCATGGGGAGCAGTGCTCGCTGTGGCAAGATCCAGGGCCAGCTTGGGGTGGTCATCAGCATCGCTGGTATCCACGTCGATCCAGTCGTAGCCTTCCTCCTCCTCTGCGTCCTTCTGGCTGGTGGTGGGTCGACTGTTTTTCCCCCTTCGTAACTGTGTCTGGGTTCTGAAGTCGGAGATTTTATTGCGTCGATGCGGATAAAGATCCGTATGCAAGTGGCCGTCCCACCTACTGTGGCCTATCTCCTTCTGCTGCTGCTGGTGCTGCTGGTCCTGTTTTAGGGCACTGACACTAACCGTTACAAGTGCAATGCCTAGCAACAGGCAAGACAGCCGCATTTTTTATTGACTTGATTGGATTTCCGTTTTTTGTGGTTTGTGTTTGTTTGCTGCTGATAAGCGCGTTTGTGGTTGCCCTTAACGTCCTTGTCGTTAGTGCATTTCGTAACCATTAGTTTATCGGCGGAAGGAAACGGATGTCACCGCGAATAGCTCACTTGCTATGGCCGCAGAGCGCGTCGGCTTACGTAAATGTGGAGTGGTACGCCTATATTCCAATATATATACATATTCTGCTGATGAACCCACTCAATGGGGCTACCGCCTGAAGTGATATTCTGGTTTTAGATAATGGAGAATGATCTATCAAATATAATGAGATGGGAACGTTAAGCAATGCATTGGCAACACAAATGTATAAGCGTTTCGACTGGACTGGACTGGACTGGACGGGGCTGGGATCCCAAAAGAGTCGAAACATCACTGAAAAGACAACCCATCGTCCGCATTCCCCCTCATCGCGCAGACCCTGTCACACACTAATTAAGCCAATTGACCTCGCGTTCGCCCGTTTGCAAGTGTTAAAGAATAAAGACAGCGCATAAAGCGGCTTGCCAGAAGGGGCAGCGACGGAGTCGCCCACATTTTGTCAAAACTGAGCACAACAAAAACAAAACAAAAAATAAAAAACAGCATTTATAAGAATATACACAAATTATGTGAAAGCACAGAGGACTTCGGGCGGGCCTTCAAGCAGACTGACAAACTGAAACTGAAAAACTGACACACTTCATACTTGGTACGTACTACGTACACACGGCTGCGCACTAATGATGGGGCTTGGTACTTCAATGCTGGCGGTATAATGCTTTGATGTCCTTCTAATTGCATATTTTACGGCGCAATGGAACCACCCACTTACTAGATGCACAGACACACACTCACACACATACACTCGAATATCGCAGGCAAGTGCATTACACACTGCTAAAGGGTTCCACTCCGCGAGGGTGTGTAAGTGGAGCTATTTGTTGCAAGCTCTCACACAAAGGCGACAGGATGCTGGCGATGAGTCGCTGACAAAGCACAAAGATCTCAAAAGTCAAAAGACAAAAGGGAAACGCACACAAAACTAGACAAATATTAACTCATATGCAGCCAGCATACTGGGAAATGTCATGAAACCGACCGAAGGGTGGCTCCAACTGTCCCTCTCCCTGTCTCTGTCTCTGTCTCTGTCTCAGTCCCTGGCGGGTTCCAGCTTTGATTTCGTTACATACACACACACACGCACGCTCACATATGCGGAAGGGAAGAATGCACACCGACCAACTGTCACTACAAATTGCGCTACCTTCCGAAAGCGCACGGGAGGATGCACAACCGAGGCAAAGACACTTCACCGGGCGGACTTTCTTAATAAGCAACCGCGTGCTCAAAACACTTAAAGCCAACATCTCTCTCTTTCTTTGCAAACACTTGTACTGGCTTATAGCACATATTTCGACACATTACTTTAGAGCTCTTTACCGATATTGAGGATTGATATTTTTGAATTCTGTTCAGCAAACCATTGCCATATTCCCGGCAATAATCAAACACAGTCTGTTGTACAGCAGCCGAGAGCCGAGAGCCAAAAGCCGAGAGCCGAGAGCACACAACAGCCGCGAGCGCGTTGGCTGACAGTCGACAACTGAATGAATTGGCTCTTAATCTTCATGCGTGCGGCAAGCAGCAAGCACAGAGTGAATAGGCCATGCACAGTGGTGCAGCCTCTGACAAACAAGTGATCAAAGTTCATTTCACGTTGAAGTGCATATTCCAATTCTAGTTTAATTCGTTTGAATATTGCCTGGCAAAAAATTAAAAATGAATTAAAATGTTAGAATTATAATCACTTTTAATTTTCCTCCATAATGCAAATATAACACAATACTCCTTTGCTGAATACGAATTTCAGAGTGAAAACAAATCAAGCAACAAATAAATAAATAAATAMGTTTTGAAATCTTTTTCTCATATATACGAAGCCTGTAGACTCTACTCTTTTCGAGTGTGATCAACAGAATTACCCTACATTAAACCACTGTCTTACCTTATAAACCCATATTTTCGCCAAACCTTAATTACGCTAGCTCTGCTTCATTTTAATTTAATTCTTATTATTGAACAATAATTAATATAAGTAAGATCCTTAGTGGCTATTGTCCAATTAGTAAATGCACATTCCAAGTTTCACCTAAATTGTATAATAGTTTGAGCTTATTTGATTTATTTAATTATATAGTATACAATTTAAAAATAAATTCAAAGATATATTAGATAACAAATAAATAAACTTAAAAAATAAAAGTGTATTATTTGTTTGAATTAACCGTTGTATATAACTGCTTGCATCCAAAATCATTGACCAAATTAATGATTTGCCTAAAATAGGCTCTCAAAAACAAATAAATCAATAAATAAAAAAAATAAAATTGAAATTTTCTGATAGGTACAATATGGAAAGGCTTATTTGGTATATTCAATGCTTCGTCTTTGTGGATGGCCGAAAAACTACGCCAAGCAGTGCAGAACGTATATGGAAATAAGCGTTATTTGTCAAGACTAAAGCGCCATCTATGGCATTTTAAAATCAAATAAGAAAGCAGTTAGCAAGTTTCCACCTCAGTAAAAAAAAATCGAAAATGGGTTGTGTCTTAGCTAACGCAATCATGACAGAAAGTTTAATCAACTGTCATTACCTCTTCATTCGGCGTTTCGAAGACGTCAAATAATGCTAGCAATAATCTGGAATTATTATAATTAT